TAATAATAATAATAATAAAAGATGATGGAGCGTGAAGCAGAAGAATAAAGAAGAAGAAGAAGAACATGGGCGTCCAGAAGTTTTTTTTTTTTTTTTTTTTTTTTTTTTTTTTTTTAAATCTATGCTTATTTGGCAATCTAAATAATCAAAACATAGCTTATGTGGCAAGCCACGAGGGCAGTTACCGACACCTATTTGGGAGGTAACCTGCTAATGGGATCGGATGACTCAAAATCATGAGTTCATGTATTCAATTGCACTTTTAAAAAGTTCATGGGTCTAATTGACTTTTCACGAAATGTTCAGTGGCTTATTTGACCCTTTTCCCTTAAAAAAAAAATAAATAAATTTTAACAATTAATTATTTAAATTAAAAAAAAAAAAAGGTCTCTGGCCGGTTTCTTCGTCTCCACGGCCGAAGACGAAGAGTTTCTTCGTCTCCGGCCATGGAGAGGAAGAGTTTCTTCTTCTCCATGGCTAGAGACGAAGAAACTCTTCGTCTCCATGGCCGGAGACGAAGAAACTCTTCGTCTCCGGCAGTGGAGACGAAGGGTTTCTTCGTCTCCGGCCATGGAGACGAAGAAATCGGCCGGAGACGGGTAGCCGTAGTCCTTTTTTTTTTTTTAATTTAAAAATAATTAATTTTTTAAATTTATTTTTAAAAAAATAATTAATTGGTGATTATGACCTGTTGGAAGCCTTCAAATTGGAAAAATTGTTTGAAATTGATTAGTTTAGGGATCTAATTGTTGGGTTTTTAAGTTCAGTGGCTTAATTGCATTATTGTGTGCAGTTCAATGGCCTATTTGACCCTATGGAAACGGCTGTAGTTATATCTTAAAAGAGTCTGTATTCTTTTTATTGTTCATAATAAAATGAAATTACATTGTATTTAAAATGAAACTGTCTCACATATTATTTTTATATTATAAAATGAAACTGTAATTGAATTGAAATGATACTTTAGTTGTGTTAAAATGAAACTGCAATATGTATAAAATGAAACCGAATAAAATGTCTCACATATTGAGTGTATATTGTCAAATAGAATTGTAGCTAAATAGAAATGAGACTATAGTTGTGTTATAATAAAACTATATTGTATATAAAATGAAACTGAATAACAGTTTCACATATTTGAGTGTATATTATTCTCCAATGAAATTGTAGTTATATCGAAATGTTACTGTAGTTGTGTTGAAATGAAATTACAGTGTATATAAATGAAACTGAATAACAATTTCATATATTTGAGTGTATATTGTCCAATGAAACAGTAGTTATATCGAAATAATATTGTAGTTGTGTGTGTAATGAAACTGCAGTGTATATAAAATGAAACTGAATAATAATTTCACATATTTGAGTATATATTGTCTAATGAAACCGTGTATAAAATAAAATTCAATAACATAACTCACTGTAATAAGATCATTGTATATATAATGTAGAATGAAACTGTACTTGGAATCAAAATGAAACGGTAGTTAACACATATACGGTAAGATATTTCTTTTTAGGATTTCTAAGGGGCGTTTTGGGTTTTTATAGAAAAGCTGCATTTGTTTCAAATATCAGCAATTTGGAGCAAATAAGCTACTCCAAATTGTTGCATGTTTACCAAATGAGCAAGTATTTTTGTATTAGGGAAAAAAGGTCAAATAGGTCATCGAATTTTAGCTTAAAAGTCAATTATAGGCTTCTAAACTTTTTAAAAGTTCAATTACACCCATCAACAATTCATTTAAGTGCAATGAAGTCCAAAAATAAATTAATGACATGTTATCACAGGTCATTAGGGTTCAGGCCACATTCTGACGAATTTTTTGACCAAAAAAAGGTGACCAGCAACCGACCCAGATTTGTTGAAAATTTCGCCAGTCACTTCTTTTGTCGAAAATTTTGCTGGTCACTTTTTTTTTTCTGCCGAAAAATTTACCGGAAGGTGGCCTGAACCATAATGACCTGTGATAGCAGGTCATTAATTTGTTTTTGAGCTTCATTGCACTTAAATGAATTGTTGATGAGTGTAATTGTATCTTTAAAAAGTTTAGGGACCTAATTGACTTTTAAACTAAAGTTCGAGGGCCTATTTGACCATTTTCTATTTTTATTATGACGAATTTGCCCAAATTTTAATGAATTAGTCATTTATCAAACAAGGTCGCTATAAAATGTCTGTTTCAGATGATCAAGAAATTAAACCATTGTAGCTCAGTCAATGTCGTGATCATACATAATAGCTAGGATGAGATTAAAGAAACATGTATTAGTACAAAATGCAACAAATTAATACATGAAATGCAATGCATTTGATCTGATGAATGAGCTAGGATAGCTAAATTCATGGATCTCGATCTATCTAGTTTTGCTTTTGGCGGAGATTCTTGAAATAAGATTTGGGATTTTTCTCAAACTCAGATCTCGCCATTCTCCCGCCCCGCCCGGGCGCCTTCATCGTCCTGCGGCGGCCGCCGCCGCAACCACAACAGCAGCAGCCGAGGAACAGAAGAAAAACGCAGGCGAGAAAGATGTAGTAGTAGTGGTTATAACCTCGGACGACCCAATCTCGTAACTTCTCCACCACGTTGTCGATGAGAATCTCGGCGATCATCTCTTTGACCTTAACCTGAAGCTGTTTCGCCGCCGTTTCTGCGCTTACTATCACTCCCTCCATCACCATCATCGTATGTATCTTCCGATCCAGACAATAATAATAATGTCTCTGATCTGATCTTAGGACGAAGCTAAGCTAGTATATATGCATCTACTTAAGCACAGTCGCTCTAAAATTTCCCCAACTTTTGCTTTTTCTTTGATTCTTTCCCACCCACTTTTTCTTCTGATCTGCTTTTGCTTTTACTATCATTCATAATTCATATTCATAATTTATATTTTGTGGGCACCACAATCAGAGTAAGCATTAAGCAAGCGCTTCGTATTGGTTCCGTACAGCTTATAAGACCCACAAGCTTTTATGAATCTGCAATTTGCCTTTATACTTCACATGCACTCACTAGCGGTCATTAAAGTCAATTGTTAGAGCATCTCCAACTCTTATGATTTTTGAGTAATTTTTTACAAGTGTGAATAGGAAAGAGAAGATGAGGGGGGAAAGAGAAAAAAAAAAGAAGTTATTACAGGCTCAGGGTTCAGGGCGTGCAAGGTGCACTGGACGGGTGAACAGGCACGCCCTCACTCCCCCAAGCAGCCTCGGCCACTTATTTGTTGGTGATAATGAACCAAAATCTATTTAATATCCCAAAAATAATATTTATATATACACACACAAGTATATAAAACATTATTAGATATTTATCCGAAATATATATATACACACAAATATATATAAAACGGATCCATCGGTTATATATATATATATATATATATATATATATATCTACGAAAAGGATATATCAATATATATCAACCAAAAATTGGAACAAATAATCCTCAGATTATGAGTCCAATCCAACGGCAAAAACAACTATGGAGAACGGATTTTGCTTAGAAGCATAATCCAAAATCGAAAGAAGGAAAAGATGGCTCGTGTTTGGGTAAGGGTTTTTAGCGTGAGTCAATATGGTGAAGTTTGAAAATATAGGAGTCGTGTTAGCCTCCCCTTCATCCAAATCAGATTAAAGGAGGGGGCAATCTCTGTTGCCTCCATCCTCGTCCAGGACTAAGGTGGGGGCAGCTATAGTTGTTTTCTCCCTTCATCCACAACATATGAAGTAGGGAGTAGGGACCGTCATGACTTCTAATTTTTTATTTAAAAATAATTTAAATTTTTTTAAAATAATAATTAAAATAATTTATATAATTTAACACTATGACAACATATTTTACAAGAAATTTAAAAGTAACATACAAAAAATATTATTTATAAATTTTTTTATTTATTTAGTAGTCTAATTATACACTTTTTTGTTTGATGATTCAATTACACACTAAATGTTAAAAGTTTCGGTGCTGATACTTTTTCCAAAACGGAATGAAGCAATGACTCACATGAGTAGACATGATTCCATTTTCTCCTGTCACCGGAAGACCAAAACACAGACTAAAAGAAAAAAAAAAAAAAAAAAAGAGAAAAACCTTCAACTGAGAGATGAATCCGATATTGACTACTGTGGGAGCAGTGGCTGCCGTTGCCAAAGCAGCTTCGACGGCATACTATTATGCACAGCATTTTGGAGTCTTTAATAGAGAATCAAAAGCTGAAGCAGAAACAAGATCAGTGGAAGCGGCGGAGAACCAATTTGCTGATGTTGGGTAAACTACTAAATTCCATCGTTTGTTGTCTTGCAAATTTGGAGATTCATAAGTTTTTTTTTTTTGAGCATCCATGTGAGAAGATTTGGTGTTTCAGCTTGTGATCTTGAAATGAAAATGTCCCTCAGATCATTCCAATTACTAAGTATTTGATTTCAATTTTGATTCTGATCCCCATGTTCGAACCAAACGCACCATAAATTTCGACTAATTTAGTATCTCGAGCTATGTAGGGTCTTTTTTTATGTTATTTTCTGTATGGGTGATGTTAGATGGAATTACTTGATGCAAGTTCTTGCTTGCTGAAATATATGGTATTGTTTCCATTATCTGGTATCTAATTCAGGTTGGTAATATGCTAATATCAAACTTTTTTACTGAAGTTTCTTGTTGGGAAGAATCCCGGTGTTCCATGGGAGTGGATATGAGATTTTTGGAGCAGCATGATGAAGAACTTTTTTGTGTCCCAAGATCTTTGGGACATGGTGGAAGGGGGCTATATAGAAGAAGAGCTGACTGTTGAGGTTTTACGAGAAGTTCGAAAGAAGGATGCCATGGCTTTGCTTTTTATCCAGCAAGTTAAAGCTCTCTGAGGATAGTTTTCCAGTTTTCTAGAAAACAGGAAAATTGTTTCCTGTTTTCAAAATGGAAAACTGTGCTAGTGAACATGTTTTCTGTTTTCTATTCTCCAATTTTCTGACAAATTTTTGCAGTTAGTGAACGGGCCTAATTCTTGCTAGGATTTGAATTCGATGGCACAGGTTAAGGCTCAGGCTCAAGATGGGAATCCCAGTGGTGGAAGCATATTTATCAAGAATTTGGACAAGGCAATTGATGACAGGGGAGGTTGTGAATTCGAGCCTTAATGGAGGCGTTATTGGCTTATTAAAAAAAAAAATGTATGTAGCACCTTTTGCGAGAAAGCAAGGTAGAGCAAAGGCTATGGAAGTGACAAACTTCACTAACGTTTTTGTGGGGAACTTATCTATATCTACAACCGAAAAGGATCTTAGGGAAGTTTTTGGCCATTTTGGAACAATAGTTAGCGCTGTGGTTGTGAAAGATGGAGACGGGAAATCAGAGGGTTTTGGATTCGTCAACTTTAATGATGCAGATGATGCTGCTTGGTCGGTTGAAGTGCTAAATGGCCACAAGTTTGATAACAAAGAGTGGTATGTGCGGAGAGCTTACCAGAACAAAAATGTTGGAAAAGTTCATAAGAAATCTGTTTCCACTACTAATGAAACTGAATCAAAGAAATCTGTGGAAGCAGTACAAAAGGGATATAGAGCTATCACCAAAGTACTCTATGTCGACGATAAGGGGGTCGGGCACTTCAACCCCAGAAGTCCATGATTTCTTAGCAAGAAAGAAGGGTTCTTGATGTGATATGATGTTGCAACTGTATATATATATATATGTGTGTGTGTGTGTGTGTGTGTGTGTGAATATGCAAAAGCTTGAAATTCAGTTTTGCATGTGCATTTACCTCAGATAATTAAGGTTGTGATAACAATATATCTAGCTAGTTACTTACATTGTGTGTGAGTGTTGCTCTTTACAGGGTTTTTGTTGGTCTGCTAAGGATCAGATTATCCACCATTAGTCATTTTCATGTTGAGCTTTGGATGTCTTTCCAACGTACGTAACATCAGAGTCCATGATTTACAATCACATGATTTTTGTATCAAATATTTTCTTCACATGTAGCCACCAAACAAAAATAATGATAAAAAAAAATTTATATTTGAATAATGTGATAAATTATAACCTTGGCCTCATACTCTGAACCAAATCTTTGGACCTCGGCCTCACGCTGATACTCACGGCCGTGACTATCAGTGTGAGGTGGTCTGGGTTCACAAACTTAGCCAACGTATTCACGATGAAACTCACAGTCATGAGTTTGACGGTGAATCGTCTTCGTTCTTGCTTGGTTTCTTGCAGCCTTCACAACAACAACAACAACAGTACTAATAAAGCATATAGGACTGACTTTTGGTGTCTAATATTTTAGCTACTTTTGTATTTTGTTGTGATCTTTTGTTTCTTCTAACTATTTGCCTCTTTCAACTAATTAGCATGTTATATTATTAGTTTTAGGGTAGGGTTTTTTTTTTGGGGGTGATTATAAATTTTTTGATATGCATTCATTTTTATTATATTATATATACATGTAGTTCATTTTAACATGTAGTATACTAAAATAACTTTGTATAAACATATAATGAATTTAACAAAAATGAATATATAAAATACTTATAATAAACTTGTGTCGAAGTTTCTTTGCAAGATGAAATAATTTGTTGAGTTATATTTAACTATCATGGTTTTGGATGTTTTGATTTTAAACCAAATAAAAAAAGCAGACTTTGAGAAGACTTGGAAAAGATTATATTGGGGTGGTTGAGTCGTGGGAAGACTTGACAAAAGTAATTATAGAATCAACTCCAATCAGTTCTCAAAAAACAAAAGAATCAAGTCCAATCAACATCAAAAAGCCTTATCTTCCGCTGGAAAAGCTTAAAGATAAAAGAGATTCAATTCCAACTATTATTTTACTACAACTCTACAAGGCTAAGCCTGAAGTGCAAGAAAAAAAAAAAAAAAAAAAAAAAAAAAACAAGTGAAAACCACAACAGATCTAGAGAGATGGGGTTTGATGATGTGATGAATTTTGTGGTGGAGAAGCTGAAAGAGTTCCTCCAAACCATACAAAATCTGGGCGGAGAAGCCCTTCAGTGGTTCGACCAAATCTTTCCGCCGGAGACCAGAGAAGATACCATCATCCACTGGTTCCAAGTCGCCCTCCCCTTCCTCATCGCCGCCGTGGTCCTCACCCTCCTCATCTGCTGCTGCCGCTGCTGCTGCTGTGGAGGCGGCGGCCGGCGGCGGATGATGAAAGCTCCGGGGAGGAACTGCAGGATGCCCAGAGATGTGTTTGAGGCCAACACCAGATCCTACTTCAGGAACCTCCGCGCGCATCCTGGCGATCAACTCGTGTGATAAATCCGACATCTATCTATCAATCCTCAAATCTTCCGAAATCTCCCTGGAATACTATGTATGTTTGGTATGAAGTACTTTATGTACGGATTATGTATGTTGTCAGTATGTGATTGTGCTTTTAAAAAAACACTAATTTTGATGTTTGTACGGTATGGTATTGGTATGAACTGAATGTCTGAATGTATTGTCAGTATGTGATTGTGCTTTTAAAAAAACACTAATTTTGATGTTTGTACGGTATGGTATTGGTATGAACTGAATGTCTAATGTATATTTGTTTGTGGAGTTAATACCCAAAATCGTCCTGGACTATACATTTTTTTCAATTTCGTCCTAAACGACTTTGGTGATCTAATATCGTCCCAAACTTTTGTGTTTCGCTCAATTTAGTCCCTCATTTGTTATTCTGTCCATTTGGTGTTAAATAAATAGACAATTCAGTAATTTTAATATTGGCATCTCTTTACTCATAGACATGTGAACTGCGAAATCCTTTTTTTTTACGAATTACTTTCAGAATTACTCTTAAAACTGCGAATATAAAATTTGATTTGCAGGTACGGGAGTAATTCTGGGTGTAATTCGTACAAGAAAGAGGAATTTCGCACTTCACAAGTTGAAAGTAAAGAGAGATCAATATTCACATTACTGAATTGTCCCTTTATTTAACATCAATTTGACGAAATAACAAATGGAGGACTAAATTGAGCGAAACACAAAAGTCTGGGATGATATTAGGTCACCAAAATCGTTTAGGACGAAATTGAGAAAAACCACTATAGTCAAGGATGATTTTGGGTATTAACTCTTTATTTGTGATTTATGTTCAGTAGAGTTACCATGATTTATATCCTCCTAAATGCTCTGTCGGGTCAGAGTGTGGGGGCTCTTAGGGTTAGGATTTAACCTTTGGAAGAAGAACACTATTTATACTAGTATACTAGTACGTTCAGGTTCATAATCCCAATAACATCTTCGAATTTATCAAAATAATAACCACATTATTCCCTTAATTAATCTCAACAGCATATGTTTCCTTGAAATATATTATGGGCCAATACCAAGTCCAATCCATTAATTAAGTAACCCAACTATTCAAATAATCTTGCCTAACCTATTATTTAAATATTTTGGGCCAATCAATCCAAAACCATTCAGTTTTAATCAAGCAACGACATATTATGCTATGTAACCGTGCAAATTATGTTGTGCAATCGTGTGCAACATGCAGACACGGAAATGAATTCATAATTTCAATATTATAAGTTCATAATTTTTATACTATAGATTCATAATTATTGAACTCTATATTCACAATTACAAAACTCTATGTTCATAATTTTCAATGTTTATATTCCCAATTGTTGAACTTTGTATTCACAAATCACTGTACTATATGTTCATAATTTGATAACTATACAGTTTAGAAATTATGAATCTATAGTATAGAAATTACAAATCTATAGTATAGAAATTATGGATTCAATGGGTGCACCTGGTTGCACAGCATAACGCTCCGTGTCCACCTTGAAAAGTGAACACGGTTCTAAAACTGTTCATAATTATGAATATATAATTCAAAAATTATGAACATATAGTTCTATAATTATGAACATAGAGTTGTGAACATAATTATGGACACATAGTTCTATAATTATGAATATAGAGATTCAATAATTGTGAATATGAAGTTCAAAAATTATGAATATATAGCTTTATAATTATGATTATATAGTTCAGTAATTGTAAACATAGAGTTCTGTAATTGTGAATATAGAGTTTAATAATAATGAATATCAATTTAAAAAATTATGAATATATAACTTAATAATTATGAATATATAGTTTAGTAATTATGAACATAGAACCGTGTTCACCTTTTCCACAGCATAATTGGAAGAGTTGCCTTGGGCATTATTATTATTATTTTAGTTTTTCTTTTTTAGGAATATTATTATTTTAGTTTAACAATCCAATTGGAACTTTTTGAAGTCAAATATGTAGCTTAGTTGCTATTTCAGCTATAGTAGGATAAGAGGCAGTTATTCCTTTCCTAAATATTATTGACATCACACGTAGACCTGGCAATTATCGATACGACCCGTTAATATGACACGAAAATAACGAGTTAGTGTTTAGCCTTAACGTGTTTCGAGTCGTTAACGGGTTGACCCGTTAGGTTTCGTGTCTTAATAGGTCAACCCGTTTAACCTATTAAGAACTTGTTTAATCCGTTAATATTATTGTGTTAACCCATTAACACGAACCCGTTTACCCAACCTGTTTATAACCCGTTAAGAACCATTGTCATGAATGAGATTACAAAAGATATTATGAACATGACTAAGGATGAATTTACTACATTAAGCCAAGATCCTACGCAACAATTATTGATGTTCAACAATTTGAAATTTGAATTTTTATTGTGTTCAATTTTATTCTAAAAATTAGTATGGACTCCTTTAATTATGATTTTTGGATGTTATTTTATCATTTTATGAATGTTATGAATAGAGTATTTTTAAATTTCTTTAATAAATTGAACTGTAGGTTTTATTTCTTTTTATTATTATTATTATATAGAACTTAACTTTAAATTTTAGTTTTTTAAATATATTAATAGAAATAGCGGGTTTCGTGTCATATCGTGTCGACAGGACTTGAAACCTGTTAACAAAATGTATCTATCGTGTCAACCCGATTAACCCGTTAACAAATTGTGTTCTTTTCGTATTAAAAATTTGAACCCGTTAACCATAACATGTCGTGTCCGTGTTTAACTTTATCGTGTTCGTGTCGTTATCGTGTCGACCCGTTAACGGACCCGTATACACGAATTGCCAAGTCTAATCACACGTATTCATAACCTGGGACTTTAGAGATAGAATCGAAGTAGGATTCTGAAAAATCTTATATAATGATATAAACAGAATTACTTAATCCTCGCCTTCAACTAACCCATCACCCGATCACAAATTTCTTCGAAACAATTAAGGAAATTCTCCCTAAAGAATTGGAAAGATTTACTGTTTATGAGCTCTGCTGATTCCTCGTCCAAAAACCTTAATTAGCTTGGCCTTACTGATCAATACAATCGAAGTTTCCAAGATCGTTAGTTGTCTTGTCAACTTCAATTCTTCTCAAAGAAAGTTCTTCTTCTTCCTCTTCTTCCCCCACGGTATTCTTTATTCCAAATTATCTATTCTCTGTTAAATCTTCTTTATTTTTATGGAGAATCAACATTGGGGTTTTTCATGCAATTTTACAAGAAATTAGTATTCTCTTTGTATTATTTTACCTGTTTAGAATACTTTCATTGGTTAAACTAATTCTTTTCCTTATTTTTTTTAGCATTCTTTAATTTCTTTGTATTTATTACTATTTTAATATAGTTTCTAAATATATAACGTTCATATACAAATATTATAAAAATTAGAAATTCAGGATTTCAAGGATATAATCCTTGACTTTGGGTACGGAGCAACCTTAAATTTAAAATCAGTTGTCCCACTCAAT